AAAAAAACTATGGCGAGTGGCCACCCCTACAGACCGGACAGGGCCGGTTCGGGTGTGGGCTATGGAAGCACCGCATCCAATTTTCGCAGTCACAGTTGCTGCATTGAATGGCACGGCGCAGACAGATGTCACAGGCTACGTGGCCCATACATGCTAGGAACACAGAGGCACGTTGACCGCAATTATAGAGGCATTGCCTTTCCAGCCCGTCTACAAATTGGACATGTGCGTGTGTGTGTGTGTGTGTGTGTGTGTGTGTGTGTGTGTGTGTGTGTGTGTATGTGTCTGTGTGTGTGTGTTCCAATGCAACATAAAAATAAAAAATAAAAATATATGATGTGCGCACCTGGCGCATATGCGGCCTGCCAGTGCGCACCCCCCAGCGCACCGGCCCTGTGCGCAGCGCACCGCGCGCCGGTGCGCACACACCTCAGGGCCGCGCACCGTGCGCTGCGCAGCGCACAGGGCCGATGCGCCGCAAGTATGGTTTGGACCCTTGCACAAAATGATTCACTGAAAGGCTTGCCAGAGACAGTGTCCCTTAAATTTGACACATGGACTTTTCTCTATGGTGGATCACATGTCTTCTGCACCTCATTCTGCATGAAACATTTAGAAAAAATTGTCTCTAGATTCATTAGTATCATTACTAGTTCTGCTATACACAACTCCCACCCTATCGGACTTTAATGAATGAAAAAAAAAAAGTATCATTACTAGTTCTCACACAACCTCAACTCCGTCACAAATTGAACCTCATCCTCTGCACTATATTCACAAATGCATCTGATAAAATGGGCACAACTCCACTACACAGCACTCTACATGCATTTCAAGTTTCAACGCTTTCTGGACCAGATACATTTGAAATGTTGCATTCGTTAGAATGCAGCTGATCCAGAAAGTGTCCAAAGACTCCAAATGCATGTAGAGTGTTGTGTAAGTGAGCGACGTCCAAATACATGCAGCGCATCTCATGCGCACAGCCTGCACCCACGCAGTGCATTGCGCACAGCGCTCGACGCGCGCACATGCGGTGCGCCAAACCCAAAAATTTGGAGGTCAGGAAAAAAAAAAATTGTTGAAGGGGCCGCTAGTAGGCTAGACCCCTTTCTGAATAAAATGCCCGGAGGGACGCAGAAAGTTTTTCCGCATGCAGCGCCCGGAATTTTTTTTTGGGAGGAAAAATCTTTGTTTTCGTTTTCGAACTTCGAAGAGTCTGGCAGACCTCCTCCCCCGCTGCCTCTGGTCTCCCCAGTAGTCCAGTGTCTTCCGCTGGTCCTCGCTCGTCCATTTACCGCCGCTGTCTGATTGTTCGCAGCCGCTGTTGTCTCGTCATCCCCTCCTTCACAGCCGCCGTCGTCGTCTCGCCATCCGCAGCCACAATTGCAGATATTTAGCCATCACCATTGCAGGAGGCAACGGGAGAAGCAGGAGGAGGCAGGGGGAGCACGCAGGGGGAGGAGAAGGCGGCGTCCGCAACAGCGTCGAAGTGGGTTTCCACCAGCCCTTCTCTCTCTCTCTCTCCCTCCCTCCCTCCCTCTCTCTCTCTCTCTCTCTCTCTCTCTCTCTCTCTCTCTCTCTCTCTCTCTCTCTCTCTCTCTC